TCTTCCCACATCGTGACGTAGGTATGTTGGGGCGTGTTAGAACGAGCCGTTTTAGGTAGGCGTGGCTGACTCTTAACTTTTATAAAGAATATCTCTTTGGATTTGAGACTTTAGTCTTTGCAACTTTACAGATCTTCTTTATGCACCAAGAGCTTGTAACACTCCAAAGAGAAAGGAAAAATTTAAATCGCATCATATGACCCCTTTAAGATTATCTTTAACAAAACTTGCAAGAATCAACCAACTATTGTCGGTCACAGAGCTTATTTTCTGCAATAATATAAGTCAATGGAAAAATCCTATAAACTAGGGTGATGTTAACTTCAGGATTGGCTTACAAAATTTAATTATCCCTTCAGCATTATACAGTTAATGCTCTTGGTGTGAAGGAGACTTTATAACTCTTGAAGCAGATTTTAATGGGGATAGTCCAACATACATACATTCATTTTAGAATTCAATAACTCTTGATTTTTACAGTGCATTTCCAGAGCCTCAACCAGACTGTTCTAATGGATAATGAAGTGGCAAGAGTTTTGAGAAAGTTGCATGAAGTCAGCCAATCAGATTTGAGCTTGCCATATTGGTCAGACTTTCCGTGGGTGAGATTACAAGTCTGGCCACAAGACCGACCATAAACACTGAGGACCAGACGTTATGACAAATGTCAAAAGTCTCACTGTGCAGGACTAACTTTGTTTTCCTTCGTAGACCATTTGCTCCTTCTGCCGATCTTTTGACCCTGAATATAAAACCTGTGTTAGACTCCTTCAAGGGCACAGGAAGGTTGGATTCTTCTAGTCTTTTCAAGGCTTTTCAGCTCAGCGCATTATCAGTGTTCAGCATTGTCCAGGTCCTCCCTCATTCCACAGCCTCGTGTGACTCTATTAACACCCTCTCCAACACTAAACATAGAGCCGCAATAAGGCATCAGCTGCCCTCTGGATGGATCCATGTAACGAATCTTCAGGCCAATCTAAACCTTAATTAGTGAACTGGCTATACACTCTCAGAAAGAAATGTGCAACACCAGACCAGCACCTGAACAACAGACTGAACAGAAGAATTTCTTTTAATCGATTGACAGCAATAATTACAACTAAAAACTAAAAACCATGCCGAAAGAACAACAAAACCAGTAGACCAACTAAATTAAGCAGTTTTGTACCTTGGATATCTTTTTAAAATATCAGAAAATGTTCAATGCCATGAATCTTGTATACTTTGTTATTGACTAGCTTGTCCTCTGGTGTGCTCATTGTAACAGCCTGGGAAGCTGTAAACAAAACACTGTTTCCTGATGGAAACATGCCATGTATTCTTAGTAGTTTTTTCCTTCTGTTTATTTTCCCATTTTCTTTTCAGAGCTTTCCACTCCATGCACGTATGGTGTACCTGAATGTTTAGAGTGTATTTAAGATCTTTCTTTAACTTTCATAACTGCCAATTTACCACCTACCAATCACGATGTTACATAGTTTAAATTGAACCGTAATATGTGTGAATAGTAAACAAAACACTGTTTCCTGATGGAAACATGCCGGAAGTTGTGTGGTGTTTGACGTTATGAAAATGCCTGTTGTATTCTTAGTAGTTTTTTCCTTCTGTTTATTTTCCCCTTTTCTTTTCAAAGCTTTCCACTCCATGCACGTATGGTGTACCTGAATGTTTAGAGTGTATTTAAGATCTTTCTTTAACTTTCATAACTGCCAATTTACCACCTACCAATCACGATGTTACATAGTTTAAATTGAACCGTAATATGTGTGAATAAAAGCAAATTAATACTTACATTTTACTCAACGTTGTGCTTTCACTGACAATTGTTTGTCAGTGTTTGCATTAAAAGTTACATAAAAACAACTATATTGCATTTACTGTAATTTACTGTAATGGTCTTTGTTGTAGCTTTCCTTTTTTACTTCAGTAAAACAGTGAGTGCAGAGACATGTATAAATGCATTTCATCTGATCGATTGGCATCAGACTCCAAGTACCATGGCCACAACAAAGCCCATTCACTCAGTCCCTCACTGCAGGCCAATGCTTTGGAATGTTTTGTAATTATGTTGTTCCTATAGTTTACAAGGCAGGTGGTTGCTAGTTGGTTATAATGCTACAGTGCAGAAATTTCGGCATGAAGCAGTTTTTACACTGTTGAAGAAGTCTTTTGGAAATCAGACTAGTAATAGTAATAGTAAGCAAAACATACAAAATAAAACAAAGTCAAGGACTTCAAACAAACAAGGAAAAAAAATTGCTATTAATTTTTTGCTACTTTGGTTTGTAAACTGTACACCACTTTTTTAGAAAGGCAGCTTGACTATAGTTTAACTATATTACATTATAGATTGTAGCTTGGCAAGTTATCGTTCAAAGTTAGCATTGACAAAGCTGGCATAATCAAGCTTTAACAGTCCAACTGCTGCATTTTACTAATTCTTTTGCATTTGAGGGTAGGAAAGTGTCAGATAGAGGTCAGCTTTGGAGGTATCTGGAAATAATTTTTATATAAGCATTATATATAATGTTGAAATGGTTTCTATTGTTAGATTCCAGTAAAGCAGACACGCATGCCTGGTTTAGCACTTTGGGCCTCTATTGCTAATTGATCTTATAAAGATCCTATTTTTCTATGCTGACACATAGCGAGCCAGCCGGCCAGCCAGTGTTTGTTGATGTTGTTGCCCTGGCAACAGCAGCAGGAAGTTGTCAGACTCTAGGCTGCTGTACAGTGCTGGAATGGTGCAAAGAGTCAAATGGAAAAAAAAATGCAAGAGCAAAAATCTCATAAAACATCACAGGGTGGAGATCGAAAAGAAGTCAAAACTTTCAGTATATGAAAAATATTTAAAAAGAAACAAACATTTTATGACATGAGAAAATGTAATGGTTAAAATATGTTTTATTGTTACTATTTTCTACTTAGATATGTTTCAAGCATTGAAGTTCAAGCTTTCAACTAAAACTGTTTTGAGTTTCTTCATGCTGGTTTGAATTAGAAGTACTGTATCTGCTAATAGTTTTATTTTTTTCTGAAACCAGCAACTAAACATATTTTCTGTACATTCCTACAATATGTTGAAGCACTATTTACACTACTAGTCTTTTGGAAGCTGCATTCACATCAATTAGCAAATAAGATTAGCCTATAATACAAACTAGATTTTCAAACGAGATTTTCTGAATAAAATGTATGTGGTGTTGCCTGTGCAAAAGTCACTACAATGTTAGGGTGTTGTGAGTGGTTACTAGGTTGGTTACTCAGTATAAGGCGTTTACTTGTTGTGTGTGGATATGTCTATGTGGTTGCTAAGGTGTTTTGTGCTGCTTACTGGCTGCTTACTAAGTCAAAAGAGCACATCTACAAGTTTCTATGATATTATGTTATTCAGAAATCACTTGGGTCTATGGGATTTTTTTTGTTTTATTGTCCAGAAAGAAAGAAAGAAAGAAAGAAAATAAAAATATCCCTTTGCCAATCTCTTGACTCAACAAGTCTGATCGCTTACAAAATTAATAGCTCAGATTCTGGTCAGATCAGTAAGACTATATGAGCAATAGTCATAGTGATGCTGGGTAATGTTTCTATTCCATCTTATTATTTTGTTCTTTTTAACTCTTGTTGCTATGTTTGTGAGAGTTGCTCAAATTATCATGTTCACCTTCATAATACCATGCAAAACAAAAATTTTTTGATTTTAGTTGCCATGTGACCTTGTGGTCAGGGCTACATGTTTTGACAGCATATTTGTTAATTAATGATTTTGCCATACTGTTTCTCTCTCTCTCTCTCTCTCTCTCACACACACACACACACACAGAATTAGTTTTCATGTTTTTTTAGAGACATTCCATAGACATAATGATTTTTATACTGTGTATAAAACTACAGTATATATTCTATCTCCTAAACAAAACCCTCAAAGAAAACGTTATGAGTAAAATAATAATAATAATAATAATCATAATAATTTGTATTATTTATAAACCGTTTTCCTCATGGGGACCAAAAATGTCCCTAGGTCACACACACATACTCTTGCATTACATCGTATTTTCATTTCATTCATTTTCAATCCAAAATAAAACTTTTTGGGCCATGAACTTTTGTGTACACACAGTCAAAATAAGTGACCACATATATATCTAAGATATACCTATGTGGCATTTTGGGCTTGGCAACATTAGTCTTGCAAGGCATTTTTATGCAATGTCTGGATGATATAACATACACTTAGACAGGAAGGTTCCATCTGACCAACTTATAAAATGAGCAACCACATTTTTACATAACCCAAATAAGACAGGTAATTCTCAAATCGATGATACCACAATAATATGGTAGCATGGTGCATGTACACATTGTGGTCACAATTTACCTTCATCTAAAACTACTAAATACAGATTATTTTATTCAGCAATAAGGCAGAACATGCAGTTGATCCTGAGGATATCTCATTTGCTTGCCAAAGCTTCAGTAAATAAAAAAATAAAATAAATAAATAAAATAAAAATTAATTAATTAATTAATAAAAAAAGAAAAAAAAAAGAAAAGTAGTAATCTGAAACAAAAAAAAATGATGTGTCATTGCTATTTGCGCAATATTAAGTATGGTTTATGTGTCCAAACATTTTTGGGACCACTGTATCATATTATGTTTTTTAGAAGATCCAGAACCTTGTTATATTATGAACCTTAACTTTTCAAATATTTGAAAAAAGGTTTTGCCTCTAAAGCACTCATTGTATCAGTCAGGATGCACGCAAACAAATATTTGCCTCCTAGAAGAATGATAAAATTCCTGACTCACACAACTTATATAGCAGCCAGCCAGTGAAACAGCAGTCTGTGGATTACATCAGCACGAGCCACTGAAGCAGGCCACGGGTGGGCTGTGTGAGGCTCAGACTAAACAAACATTACTCACCAGTGTCTCATAATAAGCTGCTCAAACAAAACAATAGATCAACAGTAGGCCTGGTCTATGCTCAGCTCACCTCCTGGAGAAGTGTAGACATGTGAGGTATGGGTCCCTCTTCTCTCTTCTTCAACAGACGGTTACACAGTATCAAGGTGATCAGAGAGATGATGAAGATACCAAGATCTGGTGTCAGGAGCCACACCATGCTCCAAGGATCTTCCAGCGGAAGCCTGCAGGAGCAACCGCAAACTCAGTGGTTAAATGATATATCTGAGCAATATGGTGTTATACAGATCAGAAAATGCAGCCTTTCACAACCTTTTCATGAAGAAAAGAAAAGAGGGCTTGAAAATGTAGCCTTTTATCTAGAAATAAAATAAGTAGTAATACAATACAATGAAATAAAATAAATATAAAAAAATAAAATATAAAAATAGATATCAAAAATAAAATGAATCAAAATAAAATAAAAACATGAAACATAAAACTTGAGTAAAACACAAGTGCTTGAATATGGTACAGAACAGGGGTTGAAAATGTAGCCTTTCATCTAAAAATAAAATAAAATATAAAATAAAATATAATAAGCTACCACATAGCATATCTCAACTGCTTCATTTCTTGTATTTTCGCAAAATGTAAACAATGATATTGCCCAGCTCTAATCTGCTAAATCTGACTATGAGCCATGCAGACAGTAAAATATTATAATAATTAAAATCATGTGTTTTCTGTAAAGCTGCTTTGAAAAAAATATTGGGTATCACAAGTTCATGGAATTTTTGCAATATGGTTAAAATCGGGCGATAACATGGCTGCATGAAAAAATGTTTTATGTTAAATGTGTTTTTGGTAATAAGCCTTAAATGGCCTTACTGTTTCCTCACTGGTTTGAACTTTGTGATCTAGCTCTGATCAGTTTCAAATAGGTCAACATGATGCCTCACGTATACATGCTCTCATTCTCTGCATTCTCTACATACCTGGACACTCCAACGTGTCTTGATAGAGTCTCCCATGAGCTGCCTACAGAGAGAGCAAGAGAGAGGTTTTCATACTGAGGATAAAATGAATCACAGTACTGGATATTGTCAAGTAAGTCATAAAGATGAGCCAACCGCAAGTGCCTTTGCAAAGCTACCGAAACATTTCCATGAGCCACTGAACTCCTGTGGCAGAGTCAGCCAAAGGCTACAAGCCCTTGAAGTCTTTGCAGTCAGCCTGGCAACTCCTTAAAGATACGTGGGACTCAGGAATGATACATCGATACATCAATTTGGGAAGGGAAGGTAAACATAATGTCCAAATCTCAAATAAGAGCGGCTAATAACTGAGGCTTCTCAAATGGATTACAGTACTTACTTACTTAATCCTCTTTGTCCCGTGTGAGACATAAGGCCAATTTGTGATTTTGGCAAGTTGAACAACGAATGATATTCCCATCAGATAAGTGGAACTTTCAGATTTAGATTTAAGCTTCAACAGATCACTTTCATCTTATTTCATAAGTACTGTATAGTTAGTAATAGCAAAAAGGTTTACAGTTAGAGAAAACAACTTAGCTGACCAGACTGGTGTTTTGGAACCACCGAAAGATTTAAATCCAGGAACACGTCCTGCTTGACAAAAATCACAGTCACCTGTGAATGCCCTGTTGGAAAATTCAGTTTAATCTAGTAGCTGTGTTTTGCAACATAGCTGGCTTCTTAGTAGCTGGCTTCTTGTTAAGTTGGTAAGTTGGATCAACTTATTGAAAGAAGCAGCTTATTGAATACACAAATTAAAAACTTTGGTGCCATATATTTTGAATGTGAATTTCGAATTGAGTTGTTTTTATAAGGGACACATTTGAGATTGAAGCTGTATATGCAAATGTAAAGTATGTGTCTGTATAGGTCACATGACAACATCTATGTTTACATGGACAACTTCTGTTTCAGTCTGAATGAAATCATTCTGATTGATGAATCTGAACATAGTGTTTACATGAATGCTAAAAAAATAATGATGAGGTTGATGTGCATGTTTATATTCCACAATCTTTCGACATTTGCACACTGTACAAATATACTGCACAAATATGAGTTTCCCACTGATTCAACACAAGCATACTAGCCCTCCTCCTCTTCATTTTCTGTTTTAAAAAAGCAGACTTCATAATTACTGATTTCAGGTCCTAATTAGGAGACGATGAGCACATGAAGCTTTTTGCTGTGCTGCTTATATTTATTAAGCAGTAAAAATGCTGCTTCCTGCTCCCCAAAACAAGGCATCTGTGAATGAGAGTCCAAAGCAAGAACTGGTGGGCCAACATTTGTCCTGTACATTTCACAGATGAATTTTCGAAAGATATGAGAATCATTTATGACACTTATGATGTAACAACTATAGCTTGTTCAGTGTTTTTGAACATGTTAGCTGGTGACCAGCCTGCCTGGACCAACTACCAACCATTTAGTTTAGAAACAACTTGACAACACGGTGTTTTTCTCAAATTTTTTTTTTTTAATGAAAGAATGCATCCTCTTTGTGAATGCTGCTTAATGATACTTAATGGAGAAGAATGCGCTCTATGATTGTACATGTACTTGAAACAAGTCAGACTTACAGTTGTGTCCCAGTGCATTATCAAGGCTGGGGATGGTATACAGGCAGATCTGGAAGCTGACATGTGCCAAGAGGAAAATCAGACTGGTGCTGAAAAGGGCCTTGATGTAACGTCCAGTGTGTCCTGTGGAATAACTTTCTAAGATGACAACTGATATGACGGTCAATATTACAACAAACCTATACAATTTGCATTCACAAATTAACCTAGTTTCACCTCAAAATAAGTGGTGTCCATAGACACAATATGTGTCAATTACCCATTGGTTGTCATAACAATAGCTTTACAGGCTTTTGTAGAAACTCTCGTAAGATTTAATTGCAACTTTACATTGCAGCCACCCAAAGATGGGATTTCTAACAATGTTTTTCCAACAACGCAGCAGTATAGGAGCAAAATGAGCACATGTGTGAGCGTTTAACTTTTGCGAGAATTAGGAAAATGCAATAGCAGGCCCAGCTATTCTAATCATGGCAGGACTGTCAAAATACTCTTTTTTTTGTAGCTAAAAAAATCATTTATGCTAAAGCATAAATGGGTAAAGAAGATCACTGGGATGTCCTCTAGAGCTACAATTGGTCACTGTTAAAGCAGAGCTTTTATTTTTGTTTTAAACAGAACTTTGACTTTGTAGCAATATAGGCAAGGATTGGTTTTTTTAAACTCATTTGGGCTGAACTCAAGCCTTCAATTGAGAATGCATATACAGTGTGGAGAATTATGGGAACATATAAAAGACTTCTTTTACACAGAGCACATCACTTTAAAAACATAAATAGAAGAAATGAATCTATAAAGAAGCTTTATAGGGGAGTATAATTAGGTTCAATTATTGCTGCTTGCTAAGGTGTCGTTATTGTTATTGCTCATACTGTACTAATGCTCACCTCTAACTCTGGCGAGTAACTCATTCCACACCTTTTGTGCCACTAACAAACTTGTCATTCCTTCTTTCTTTCTTCTTTTTTTTTCCAAGCAAGTATCTAACTGTAGATACTACTAAACATATGCTGTGGCAGGTCTGTAAGTTTTCAGATCTAGTACTACAACACTTAGTCCTCACATCTACAGTATTTTGACATATTAATTTCAGAAATGACTTGAAGAACATTATTAGCATTCCTAGAACTTTTATTTAACTTGTGAATAAATTATATACAAAAAAGCAAGCAAAGACTCCCCCTTTTAAGCGGTCGATCACTTCAGTTAAGCACAATCTTCCACAGTTCTGCACTCCATAGTGGAGCTGAAGCACATCTCACGTAATTACCAAAACAATGTTCCTCTGCAAGAAGCTTGTAGTTTTATGCTTCATACCGCTAAGCGACTAAAAGCTAAATTAAGTGAAAATGAGAACTGTAGCTTTATTAAAATTTTAGTTAACTATAATATCCCTGCAATGCAGTTGTTATAGTTGCAGTGTGTTGCTATGAGGTTATTAGGGTGTTCTTAGAGTTGTTAAAACTTAGAGTTAATAAAACTAAAACTAACTTCAGTTGTAGGCACGCTTGTTATTTATAGCTGCGAGATAGCAAAATGTCACTATGGTTATCCTATGTCTAAGGTCATTTTAGGGTAGGAGGAGTGACTTCCGTTTTCAGCACACACAAAAAGCGATTCAGTGCATTCACTATTACAATTCACAACAAAACTTTTTTGTTGTCCACCATGCAAAAAAGTTCTGATTGTTTAGAAAGGTACAAGCACAACTCTCCACTAGCCATATAATTTCATTCATATCCGTACCACAAACGGCCACACTAAAGTTTAAGACTTAGGGTTAGGGCTTTTCACTAACCATAAGTATGAATAGTAATAGTGCCTTAGTAAGCACTCTTATAGGAAGAGAAAAAGAAAGCTGCACAGTCGAAAATTGCAGCCTGAAATGAGTACCACCTGAGGTCTGTGGTTATACTTTACTGTAAAACACTGATGGAAATGCACCGCTGCATAATGTAACCTGTAAAATAAAGGTTTTACTGGACAGACAGCAGATACGCCACCCCACTGCTTGGGGATTTCAGGTTGTTCTGCTTAATACAAACTGTACTTCAATTATCCAGTGTGTATGTGAAAACGGATAGAATTGCAGCAGAAGTATTCTGGCTGGACGAGGTGAATGAGGGCACCTGGGTAAGAATGAACACTCTGGACACACACAGAGGCCTCAGCAAAGCTTTATTTGTCTTTCTAGTTTGTCTTGGCATTTTCTCTGGTTTGTTTCCAGCGAGATTCAATGAAAGGCCACTTCAGCGCTCGCCACAGATAGCAGCACCTCTAACCTGTTACGCGCTATAGCGAGAGTGTGAAATCTTTGGGGCCATTGTGAGATTTTCTGCAGAACTAGATAACTGTGATGTCTTGTGTTTGGACACGTGTAGCCATGATTGTGTTAACAAAAATCGGGGCTCTAGAGCACTTGACACAGCTCCATAGACCCCAAAATGATGTAGAGTTACTGAGCGGCTATGGAAAGAATAACAGCCTGCCTTACCAAACCAAGCAAGAGATTTTACACATCAGCTGTGGGATATTTTTTACCCAATTTTAAAGGTTATCCTGTAGTTATACACACTGTTTATTTTGGCGTATCACTACAATCTAATCTAGACAATTGGATTTTTAGTATTCTCAATGTTAAATAAAAACTAGTGCTGTCAAATGATTAATCGCGATTAATCGCATCCAAAATAAACGTTTTTGAGTACATAATATTTGTGTGTGTACTGTGTATATTTATTATGTATATTTAAAAGCACACACATACAGTATATATTTTGAAAATATATACATGTATTTACATGTATATATTTACATTTGTATAATTTATATTATATATAAATATATATACATATTTTTCTTAAATATATACATGCATGTGTTTGTATTTATATATACATAATAAATATACACAGTACACACACATATAATATATGAACAAAAACGTTTATTTTGGATGCGATTAATCGCGATTAATCGTTTGACAGCACTAATAAAAACCCTTTCAACCTGGTCTGGCCTGGCAATCTTAGGGCTTTTTCACACTTGGCTCATCTGGAGCGTTTGTTTCAGAACCTGCCGTGTTTTCTCCCTTAGTTCGGTTTGTTTAGGCATAGTGGATCGGCACTAAAATAATCGTTCCAAGATCGGCTGAATGAGATGGTCTCAGGCCCGATTACAAAAACTCTGGAGTGGTTCAGTTGTGTTTAGAAAGCAATCCACCCCAATGGACCAACAAACCAAACTTAATTTTATTGTTATTATTATTATTATATTATTATTGTTATTATTATTATTTTTAGATTTATTTTTGGCATTTTTGCTTTATTATGATAGGACAGTTATTAGACGGAAAGAGAAGTGGGAGAGAGGGGAGATGGGATTGGGAAAGGTCCACGAGCCGGGACTCAAAGCTATTGCACTGACCAAACCAAACTTTATATAAGCAAGTCCAGTAATCCTTTAACAAAATAAATAAATAAATAAAAAATTATATTAAAATGTTTGACTGTTGGATATTTCAAATATTGAACAAGTGAAATTCCCAAATGAGTGTATTCAATTGAAATGACTGGATGACCTCAAAGATTTCCATGAGTGTACAATAGCAGAATTTAATGCAAAATCAGGCAAACTGCATTATTTATGGCAGCTTGCATTATTTGTCTTATTTCTGTAATTTTTTCAGCAACAAAAATTTTAACCTGAGAGGGGGAAATGCAATATCAGAGTCCAAACTAATTAATAAATATGTGTTCAAGTGTCCTGTCACTGTGTTGCAGAGAATTGTTGTAAAATGAGCAGGAATGGCCCGACCATACAGAGCACCAGGACATCCAAAAAGAAAGAAAGGTTCTGACATGAGGCCCATTAATATAATACAATAATATACATAATATAATATTTAATTAATACAATATTTAATATTTAAGTGATCGTTCCCAATCATTTATTCACAACCTACACTTGTGTCAAATTGTTCACTTCCAAAACACACAAGAGAGACATGGCTACGCAAGTGATCCAACATGTACGTTTAGCACATGGGACGAAAAGAAAGTTTCTATAGAGGTTTAATGATGCTATTAAACAAGTATATGTAATATTGCATATAATATATATTGGAGCACATATTTTGCTAGTCCCCATAATGCCTGATTTCACCAGTAGATTAGATTTAAATTAATTTTAATATTTTTAGTGAATGCAATCACTAATAATACTTGATAAATACACTGATACTTGCTTGATAAATTATAAGGAAAATATTATCCTTTTGGCCATGAATTTTAAAAGGCTTAATCTGGAGGCCTTCGGTGGCTTCGTGTCACATCAACATGAGTGTTTATTCTTGTTAAATCCTAGTATTTAAATAAGACTCTAATTCTAATTTTTTGAAGTTCGAACAAGAATGATATCTCCGATTTTGTGGGTTGTTGGGGAGAAGCATGCAATCACTTTTGTAAGCATTCAGACTTACAATCTTCATACGACAGGCCGATAAAGCTCTAAGTGCACAGTGCACATTATGACCAAAAATACATATACTAGTAAGACAAAGTTGATGTTTATCTAAAGCATCATTAATCACACAGTGGTGTCATTTGTTAATGAGATTAAGCTTATATTTCATCAAATGTTATATACAAGTTAATGGAACCACATTATGAACACAAATAATGCTTGACAATGATAAACTACTCTTCCCAAGAGTATCACAAGCTTTCTGTGGTTAAGGAAGTGAATGTTGGTACAAAGAGCGCAGCTTATGTAAGTCTCTGAAGTAACTGGTGAGACTAGAACCCGAGTTCTGACCCTGGCAGCGGGGGGCACGTGGCAGACACACCCCAGAGAGAGCTGCTGCTTTCCGGAACTTTCCTCTCCCACATACAGCGGTGGGAAAGTATGCGGAAAGTCTCATCGCCCCCACATACCAGTGTGCATTTGTTTGGAAAATGTAGAACAACAAGGACATTACTAATTAAACTATAATCTTCAATGAAAAAAGATCAAGGACCAACACAATATATTTAATGTTGGATAAAAACAAATCTATCTAGAGCAAGAATTATGATATTCTCTCCCACATAAAGCGGTGGGAAAGCATGCGGAAAGTCTCATCG